CTTTCTGACTCAGCTCTCTCTTCACCACGACGGACCGGTACAGCGCCCGCTTTACAGCAGACGCTGCGCCAATCCGCCTGTCGACCTCCGACACTGCAGATCACCTAATAGCACATTAAAATAAGGCTGGTGACTTAGTAAGACTACTTGTAAATCATAGTAAATGCAGGCTAAATAGCTCAAGGCATGCTGAAGCGCACATTATTCATATTTCATATTCATATTTCATAAAATAAGACTGTGTTGCTGGCTTATTGGATGATAGGTAGCACCAGAGAAAGTAACTATGTCCATWTGTTGTGTTTTAACTAGTGCAGCTTGAAAACAGATCACATGATTATCTTTTTATAAGTAATATTGAGCAGTAGTTTTGGTTATTTGACCATTTATAATATTTTGTCATCGTAGCTATTTGGCAATCAACAAAATAATAACAGCTGGAACTGGTTCTCTCACATTATCGGTTTATGTTTTTTTTTTTTTTTCACATTTTGAAGGTGAAGTGACAGACATATAGGCCTGTATATAATTTTTAATTGCTGTGTACAGAAGGGTCGTAGTGTGTTTGCTTAAGATAAATAAATTCAAAGGAACAATCAAACATGTTTTTTTTCTATTAAAATATGTTTTTCTATATATTTTTTCTTTAAAATGTTCTTAATTCCTCATTCATACATTTAAAAATATATCTTTACCCTGTGTGAATTCCCTGTCACTTTGCTGCTGATGCACTGAGACACAATAAAGATGATTTCTATTCTTATTCATTTATACTTTTATTAATATGTCATACCATATATGTCTGTCTCCGTTAAAGTTTGAGTTTATTTCGAGCCATATATAAAAGTAAAACAAAGACAATAAAAAGAAAATACATATACCCGTTAATAGGAGAAAAAGAAACAAAAAAATGTATGTATAACTTTCATCCACGGATACATACTGTATGTACAGTAATATATATTCAGTAAGAATGGGACACTGAGTCATCCAATTTATGTTTTATAAAATAAAGCTATATTTAGATATAAATACTTCTAGTCTTTGTTAAATAACGTAATAAAGTATTTCAGCATGAAAGCTCAGATTTTTATTTTGTGATAGTGTTCTGTATCATAACCTCTCTGCCGTTACAACCCAAACTGTATGAAAATCGGGTAAAAAATCGTGGAGCTATGATTATTTTAGATGGGGACCTATTCAAGATGGCGGCTGCGGTGAAACCTTACGGCCTCTGCGTATAGCTATGTTGTTTATGTAGTCATTTTTCTGCCAAAATGCCACGTAAATCTGTGACGTTTTGACTGGTCAGAATCATTCAAGCCCTCTGGATGAAAAAATATTCAAGATATCTTAAATTCATTCTTAAAAGGAATTTTGACTAGTCATAATTACAGATCTAGATATCTCTAATTTAGTTTTGACTAGTCATTATTTGCTTTCAAGTTATCTGTATGGATTTGAAATCTTTATTTGTGATTTCTAAAAGTACATTTAAGATATCTTAAATAATGATGTAATTTAAGATATCTTTAATTGGAATTATGACTAGTCAGAACTAAAAGTGAGATATCTTGAAAGCAACAAGTGACTAGTGAAAACTAAGAGAGATATCTCGAATTGTATTTTTGACTTGTCAAAATTCCTTTTAAGATATCTTGAACTGAAGCCTCCATAGAACTCAGTGGTAAATCTGACATTATTTATACTAGTCAAAATATAATTAGAGATATCTTAAATAACGAATATGACTAGTCATAATTCAATTTCAGATATCTGGAATGTAAGTGTCGTGAATCRGATTTTATGCTAAAATGGCTTGCCAAAGTCCAGCAAATGAGTCAACAACAAAACAAGCTGAGAAGGCAGAGAAGATTTGGCTAATTTTTCATGTGCTCAACCCACATACTCAGCTCTACTGCTCATCCCATAAACGCCTGTTCCTTACAAATGTGGCACCATTTAAAAGTGAAATTAACAGGCTTTCCAACAATATAAGGTTAATTGCCATGAAGCATTGTCACAACAAAGAAATATTCAACCAAACACAAATTTACTTACTTTTTGAGCTAAGTTTACTTATTACAAAATAAATCAATAGATA